TCCCAATAGAGTGTTCCTTTTAAAAAGAAATAATTAGATGACTAAATTAGATCTTAAGCACTGATCTACCTATATACCCCACAGAATATGTAATTAGAAATTTAAGCACTCAGCCAGATATTAAGTCATTGGAGACATTTCTATCAGAAGCCAATAGTATTACCAAAATGTTAATTTTCTAAAAGCATTGTAAATTCCTTAAACATTGTAAAGTGCACATAAAGTTGATTGAGCAAGCCAACTCAGATAAATGGGTCAGATAAATAATGCTGTACTTATGCCAAATGCAAGCTATACTCTAGTTATCAAGTAGGTATTTAAAAACCATGGCAAAGGATAATGGAAATGGTGTGGCAAAGAGTCAGTTACAGCCAAGAAAACATGCACCCCTTAAAAATAATTGATCATCATCGCCTGATAATATTGAGCCAGGTGACAGAGGAAAACAGCCTATTTCCTTTCCCCTTATAGGCACTGTCTCCAACACAATCACATTGTGGTGAGGGCTACAATATGTGAATTTGGGGTGAAGCACCAATCAGTCTATAACACATGGATATTCAAAATGACCAAATGAACATAGTTTTAACTTTTATTCTTCTAAGAAATTCATACACAAGAAAAGATGACTAGAGAAACATGTGAGTAAGATGGAAATATGTAGGGGAAAATATGGTTCCATATTTGGAATCAGAAAATTCACTTATGGATGATTAGAAATTCTTTGCAAGCTGCTCTCCTTATTTTCACTTTTACTTCTAAATTGATATACTCTCTTTTTTTTCTACTATGGGAATAAATCCTAGATTAATTCTAAACTGTGTGAACCTCTGGGGTATCGACCTATCTGGACGTGTTAACAGATTTGTTAGATGAGTCCAAAGGAGTCCTATTTGCATAAGGAACTAAGGAGTCTTACGGGATCGGGAGGCAGGGACAGGATTCATGGTCATAAGCTTAATCTGTTAAAAAAAAAAAGTCATCTGTGCAAGAGAAAGCATATGCTACCTCAATCAGAATTATCCATCAGCCTAGTACATGGTATATTGCTTGAAAAAATCTGAAGATACTAAGGCAAAAGCAGCAACTATTTTGTATTCATATACTGTATCCAAGTGTTACAATTATTACAAAAGAGGCATTTTCTTCTTATTTTTTAACACAACTCTAAAGATTTGGCTTTATGAGGACTGCAGGGTATTGTCAGGACAGTGGCGTTGCCCAGCATATGGTAGGATCAGGAATTGCCCTGAGGAAACAGGAAACCATGATAACATTTAGAAAAGGCTGAGTGCCTGGTGTATTCTCTAATGACGGTGAGATGAAGTAGAAATTGTTCTTAGCACAGGGGCCAGCATAGTTTAGGAAACTGATATTGGTAAGAGGAAGAGGAATAAAATTACAAATGCCAGTAGCAAATGACTTGACATATCTGTAGTTGGTGTAATCAAATGTCACAGTGTGACAGGAACAGTTCTGACTTACAGCCGATTGACAGAATATATATCAAAGTCCCCCTCTGCCCTCTCCATCATTTCCCATTTTGGAAACCTACTCCAGGAGTAGAGAACTTTGGAGGAAGTTTGAAAGAGCCTTAGCAAGATAAGGACAAAAGTAAAATGTAAATTGTGCTTTGTGAAATTATATTGCATCATATTGTATTGTACTATATTTAGAGTACTGAAAGATTTCAAGTACTCTCAGCCATGTTACTGGTTGATCACTAAGTTCTGCTAACAGTGACAAAAATAAAAACAGAAGAGAAAGTTCTCTAGTTTCATGATTATTTTGTGCACATGTCTGGGCCAATATTTTTTTCCTACAAAAAATTCAGTTCCAGTGCATTTCTCTTCTTGGACATATTAAGGAAGGTACTGGATTTCTCGGGGCCGGGGGGTGTGAAAACAATTGAAGACAATTATGTTCACTGGAAAGAAGAGGCCCTCCTAGCCCTCGCAAGGGTTAACTTTGGGAACAAAAGTTACAAACTCCAGACACAGCTAGGAAGGGTTTCAGACTCTCCAGATAGAATGGAAATCAGAAAAAGACTTCCTTTATTACTTTAGATCAGCGGTTCTCAGCCTGTGGGTCGTGACCCCTTTGGTGGTCAAATGACCCTTTCACAGGGGTCGCCTAAGACCATCCTGCATATCAGATATTTACATTACAATTCATAACAGTAGCAACATTACAGTTATGAAGTAGTAATGAAAATAATTTTATGGTTGGGTCACAACATGAGTAACTGTATTTAAAGGGCCAGAAGGTTGAGAACCACTGCTTTAGATGCATGACAGAAATCTAGAATCCCAATTGATTTTATTTCCAATCAAGGGCACAGTTCTACCATGTCTGAAAATTCTCCCTATTATAAGTGAGAATTATACTTAGCAACTGTTCCTATTATATGGTGTTAGATGTTTTCAGTAAATACCAGAGAAATTGATATGTATGCAATATTAAGGCTTATCAGGGTTTCTAATTTTGGCCTAGATAATTCCTCTTATAGGGGATATTCTATGCATTGTAGAATTTTTTTAGCAGGATCCTTGGCCTCTATCCACAAGATTCTGGTAGCACGGTTCCCCACCCCCACAGTAACTCAGGACATTGTCAAATTTCCCCAGAGTGGGGAAGATGGGGAGAAGATAAACATAGTCCCAGGTTGAGAACCTCTGGCTTAGATAGAATACCACTGTGAATTTCTTGAAATGGGACTCCATGTACATTTGCTCATGGAAGCAAAATTTAGAAATCTCACACACAACCTTACTTGTGTAGACACAGCCTCACTGTCTGGGCTTAACGCCAGAATTAAAATTAAGTATCTCCCAATTCCCTAAGACAATCAGGAAACACATTTTTCTACCTCCCTTCCTTCTACCCTGACACTATTTCTTTTGGACAATTAAACTGCAGTACTTTAGGCTCCTTAGAGAAAAGCTACTGTGTAAATGCAAAGTAATAATGGATAGTAGCCAAGTAAAATGAAAGAAACTATACTAAAAGCTAATTGTCTAAATTGAGAAGTTGATGCTCATGAATAAATATTCATGGACATATTTTCATACTAGTAAACTGAAGTAATACCAGACTCCTACTATCAGATTAATCTGAAGCCAAAAGAGACATATTTTTGAAACTAGAGACATTGATCTTGTGGTGATCTATAACAATAACTGCATTTCTACCATAGAAGGTGAATAATATAATTTTAAAATGATAAATGCCACTGCTGTGGCTAGATGCACATTTATTAATTTGATTTGCTTTAATGGAATTTTTTCCCTAAGGGTCCTGGTGGTAGGCAGCAACTTATAATGCATAAGAAATGGTTGTTCTTACTGTTACTTTTATCACAGAAAACACAATCACTGACTATGCTTCAGCATCAACATAAATATTCAAATACTAATATCCTGCTGCCCAGTGGGAATTTGAGAGTTTGGGTGATGAAATACACATTGTTGAAAGGAAAGTTTCATTAATTCCAAGGAGAGAAAAAAATGTGGTTATGTGTTCCCTGAAAAGACTAATTCTGTTTAATTAGTTAATTGTAGGCTTGATTTCATTGTGAAAGGTAATGGGATAAGTAGTTAATTATACTATAAATTTATCTAATTTATTTGATAATCCAGCTGAGTTGAATAGCTGAATTAAGGCTAATAACTTAATCTTGGTAATAAATAAAAAATAGCATTACTTTGGAATAGAGGGCTAAGTGAGCTCATGGGTATTTCTTTTTATTTTAATTTATCTTTATTGTTGAAAATATTACACCCATCCTCCTTTTTCCCTCCATTATCCCCCCCACCACTCCTGCCCCCTCCCTTTTTTGTGTGTGTCCTCTAGTCCTCTGCCTCCCCACTACTCAAATGTTCCTTGTCCCAGCCACTGAACTAGCCTGACTCGATCACATGCTGAACTCTTCCTCATTTATCCATTTACGCATGCTAATCTTTCAGCTTGGAAAACTGCATCTAACCTGTAATAGCCTTATACTCATTTACTTTTAAAATTCAGCTCCCTAGATTTTACCTCCTTCATAACATTCCTCTATTCCTTTGAGTACACCAGGTCTCTCCTCCAGTGGTTTGCTCCCCACTCTGTTCTTTCACCAGCCTCATCCTAAAGCAGTTTATCAGTTCACTTACTACTTCCTCAAGAACTTGAGCTCTTTAAGGTCAGGACACTCTCTCTTACTGACATTTCCTACTGAACACAGTAAACTCACAGAGCACATGCCATATAGACAAATGCCAAATAAGTGAATGAACTAATGAATAAATTTTAACTACTTTATAGTTTGAAATCACTTTTTAGTAGGCATTATAATATAAAATTAACATATTTATTTACGTACTTCTTATCTGTATTCCCTTTTCCCTACTGGCACCACAAGCACCTCCAAGTTTCTTAATGGAGAACTGACATTATTTTTTACTTCATCTCTATTTCCATCTCACTCCTAGCAGTTCCTAATAAATATTTATTGAAGAAAGAATCATGCTATTTATTGTTAAATGATTCTTGATAACCTGTGGAGTGGATAGCTCATTTGCAAATAAGCTAAAATTTTAATTCAGAGGACACGTTAGTAATACATTCAGTGATTGATACAATACTAGGTATCCATCTATCTATCAATGATTTGTAAAAAAACACTAATACTACAGTGACTTGGAATAAGGTTTAAATCATGGGTCCTCTGCATGTAATTCTTATAAAAATTGTCCTGTAGCATAGTGCACATTGTATTTTAAGACATCTGTCAATAAAGGACAGGAGAATGTGTTTAAGCTAAAAAAAAAAAAAAAAAGGAATTCTATAGTTTGGATATGACAAGGGATATCTGATAGGGAAAAGAGTGGATATGTAAGCAGGATTTGAAGATAAGAGTGAAAGAGAAGATGACTGATGGTCTAAGCTCTTGGATGGAGGTGGAGGGAATTACTACAAAAACCCAGGTAAAGGTTTGAATTTGGAAATTAAGGTGGTAGGGCCTCTCTTCCATAGGAATACAGGGGGTTTCTTTTCTCCTCAGCCAAGACTGGAGGCCAAGATCAACCCTTGAGGGTCATTGTTGGAGCTGCCCTGAGCTGGGAAGCCTTGTTTTCCTACCTCAGACATTTGTAAAAATAAAGAAGATGGCAATATTTCATTCAAAACAATGCACACTCCCTTTCATAGTGTTTTGTCTTAGATTAAAGACTGTAGTTCTTTATAATGGCTAATATAGCCTTCCTAGCTCCTCATTACCATATTATCTCCTTAATTTCTGCCATGTGACCTTCTTTCAGTTCTTAAAAGTATTCAGGGCCTTCACTCATGCTATTCCCTTTGCCTGTAGCTATCTTCTTCATCTTCCTTTCTTCTTTGCCTGATACTCAAGTCTCGCCTTAGATAGCACCTCATTAAGAAAAATGTTTCTAACTCTCTATATTAGGTTAGAGGGTAGCAAATTATAGATACTTTATGAATTGCTATATTACATGAAAATCTATATTGTTACTACACTATAACCCCATGTTATTAGGCAAAGAATCTGTATTCTTTGCTAATACAGCTCTAACTCTCAACATAATGCTTGACAAATTTTTATTGAAAAATGAAGAAATACAGTGGTCAGATTAGAAAGAATGGAACATTAAAATATCAATATTTATAGAGACAGAAGAGCAGATGTATTTCAATATTAAATACCTTTTTTTTCATGGTGAACTAGCTAAGTAGAGTTGAAAATTTTCAGAAAAATAAGAAAATTTAGCATCAGACAAGGTGAAGAATTTAATAGGAAATAAATGAAGACTCAATTTAAACCCACTCATTAGCCAACAATATCCTTAGCCAGTAAATAAATCTGAGATCATCAATGCAGCTCTCCAAATTCTTCCTTGCCCTGCTAGGACACACTCTGCTCCAAATTTGACAGATGAAATTTCTAAGCAATTTAGGTGAGAAATCACTTCCACAAAGCAAATTATTTGAGTTATAAAATATATTCATTTAATACTCTGATAATTATAAAGCTGGCACTAACATTTATCAGTGGATTATGTCCCATAAATGGTTACAGTTCAAGTTTATTATGATCAGCAACTTTGACTGACCAGAGAGATGCCCTAAAGCATTCTATAGATCATGATTTTCCACTACCTTTCTACTGGAAGTCTGATACATACACAGAAAGGCTGACCTTTTCTCTACCATTTCTTTCTTCTTTCTCTTATTCCTTGTGTCCTTGGAGGAGGAAGGTGGAGGGGATGATTATAAAACAGCTGCCAATCTTTCTCTTGCTACTTAGTATCTCAAGTTCATTTAAATCAATTGCCAGATAATCACAAGAAATCATGCACACAATTTTAATGTGGTAATGTTTTAATATCCAATTTATAGAAGACATCTGAAGAAAAAAAAAATCTACATACCCCAAGCTTTAACTAAACTACTTTGTAGAGAGAAAAAGCACATATAAAAACAAAATATTCACATCCTATTGTGATCCTTAGATGACATTGATCAGTAAATGATGTCTCTCTCTCTCAAATTATCTTATTGTACTATACACACCCTTCTCATTATGATGTGAAATAATAAAATGCCTACATGATGAGATGAAGTGAATGAAACATTATTAAAGTAAAATAAGAGTTGCTTGAACACAAGTACTACAGTACCGTGACAGCTGACTTGCTAATTAAGAGGGCTACAAAGTGCCTAATGGGCAGGAAGTATGTACAACATGAATACTAGGGACAAAGGGATGAATCATGTCCTGGGGAGGTGGAGGTATGACTGCACAAAGATTTCATCACTCTATCAGAACCCAATGCAATTTAAAACTTATAAATTCTTGATTTCTGGAATTTTCTGTTTAATAGTTTCAGAACTTGGTTGATTGTAGGTAACTGAAAATGAGGAAAACAAAACCTTGGATAAGGAGGCACACTATATTTTTAACCTCATTTTTCAGATAAGCCAACTGTCATATTAAGAGCTTTATCATATCCACATTTTCTAACTCAATGTCCTCATGCATCATATGCACCAGATTTTATTATCATTGTTCTTTGCTTCTGTGGCATGTAAGTAGAGAGCTGAATAGAAAATGGCTTTTTTTTTTAACTTAATGTAGATACTTTCCTCTATCCCCCATTGCCTTAAAAATGTAATGAGTCTTCTACTTCCACAAAATAATCACAGGAGTTCATTCAAGGAGGGATTGTAAACATCACTACATTTAAAGACGATAAAAGAGAATAAATTAAAGCCTAAAGGAAACCAAAAATATTTTTCTTAATTTCCCTTTGTAAATTAGGAAAAAAACAAAAACCTGATCCTAAACTATAACTTCTGTCTGAGCTTCTTTTAATTGTAAACACACCTAAGCCTTTTTAAACATAGAAACCCATCCAATAAAAATGGAACCATGTTTTCTTTTCTTTTCCCCTTAATAATTTCTTTTATCATCTCACAAGAACAGCTTCACATACTAGTTTCTTCATGTATATAATTAAGAATATATAGTAAATTGATTGTTTCAAAACAGTTTACATTCAGGTGTTAATGTCACATTAATCCTAATGTGATCTTCAATTATGGCCAATTCTCAGGCAGGGTGGTAAAGAGGTAGAGTAATCAATCATCCCCAAAACTCAGAAATTGAAAGGTTCCTGGTCAATAACTGTGCCTCTGAGATCAGCATAAAATTATACATTGAAGGCATTTGCTAGGTGGGCGATGCTAATATGTAGCATCAGTGTCAGCGAACACTGGCTATCTTAGGGCCTAAGGGAATCCAGCTTTAGCTTATTTCTCTGGGTGAGGAGCTGACAATTATCTTGACTAGTATAGTTTGAAGGATGAGAGTAGAGAAGAAGAGTCTGTTTTTGCTGCTGGAAACAATAAAAAGGAATATCAGCCTCAGGCAATGGAGTAATGCCAGTGTAATGGATGGATTCTTTAGAAAAAGGAAAAGTAAGAAAGATAATAGAAGGTATTTGGTAAACATTTATTACTTTCCACTGTGTACTGAGCAAGCAAGGGAATAAGTTCAAGTAGTGGGAAATGCATATCCAGGGATACACATACTGTCAAAATAATGAAGTTTAAGCCTCACAGCCCTTTGTTTTCTGTAGACTCCTTCTGAGAAAGGTTCTATCAATATTTGATATGACCATATATTTTTGTAAAATTTGCAAAAGCATTTTGTACTGTTCTTTTTAATGACAGCTCCCCTTTCCCATATTGTTCAGACTATAGTCATCCTCAACTCTATCTTCCTGCGCATGCAGTTCCTGAAATTGTTCATTAAAACGACCACTTTTAATTATTCTGGGAGAGGATATATGCACTTCATATCCTTATAAGATTTGAGCTCGTTTCTCTTTGCAGCTTTGCAGGGCTTCCTCTGTAAGCATGGACTTTTTGGAAAAGCAACAATAACTGAAAAAAGTGGGTTTTTTACTTGTCATTCAAAATGTAATTTGCACATAGAACATCAAAAGCTTTTGACATTTGTCCTCAGCTGTCAGTGGCGGCTTCTCTCTCTCAGGAGGGGCCTTGTGCGGGGGCATTTATAGGGCAGCCAGGATGTACTTTGAGACTAAAGTGGTGGTGGGTAAACATATCTCCAGGGCCAGCCTAGACTCAATTCTCTCATCCACATTATGCCTGTGAAGGCAGTTTATTTATAAAAATCTGCTAGAGGTATTTGGAGTTCTGAATGAGAATGGCAACCAAAGGAGCCAGACCTATAGAGCCAAATTAATTCCAGGAGACATTAGGCAGAGAAAGATACCGAATCGGGGGCACACGGAGTAATCTGATGATCACATGGATCCTAAAAGTTTTCTTATGTCCTCTGGAATCTCTTTGGGCAACACATGGAATAGACTGATAACAATGCCTTCTATTTGTGCTGTGACATTTCTGTGCAGGTTCACTGTTTTGTGACTCTGTCTCTTCCTGCCAACCTAGCTATTATGATCCCCCAAATAAAAGAAGCCAAGAACAAACATGAGTACAAGACTGTCTAAAGTACTGCCACTCATCAGAGGTTAGAAGTCCAAATACTGTTAATCAGGTAAGGTGGGTCAACAGTTAGACTCTGGAATTAGTTTTACAAAACCTGAGCCTAGAAGCTGGTTAGTTACTTTCACCACTTCTTTAAGTAAGTGGGTTAGACGGAATAACAAGCCCCAAAGATGCCCACATCCTAATCGCCAGAATGTATGAATATATTATTTTACAGAGTAAAAGAGGCTGTTAGATGTGATTAAATTAAAACATTTTGAGATGAAGAGATTGTATTGGATTATCCCCGTGAGCTCAACGTAATCATAAGAGTTCTTATAAGAGGAAAGCAGGAGGGTCAGTGTCAGAGAAGGAGATGTGACAACAGAAGCAGAGGTAGGGATGCTATCATTGCTGAACGAAGGCCAAGAAGAGGGAAGAAAAAGGAAAAGAAAAAGGAAAAAAAGAAAAAGAAAAAGAGAAAGAGAAAAAGAGAAAGAAAAAGAAAAAGAGAAAGAAAAAGAGAAAGAGAAAGAGAAAGAGAAAGAGAAAGAAAAAGAGAAAGAAAAAGAGAAAGAAAAAGGGGAGGAAATGGATTTACTTCTAGAGCCTGCAGGAGGAAAGCAGCCTGCCAACACCTGATATTTGTCCCATTTCACTCATTAAGGACTTCTAACGTTCAGAGCTATAAGACAAAATTTGTGTTGTTTTAAGCCACCAAGTTTATGGTAAATTGTTATAGAAGTAATCAAACACTAATACAATGATTGCACAATCTGAGTTCCATTGGCTTTAGTAGTAGGTGTTTAATCTTGTACTTTATAGGTATTGTTTCTCATTCAGTGTTTTAATTTATATTTTAAGAATTATTGCTAACATTTGAAATCAATTGAATATAATGAATAAGAAACAAAATTAAGTGAGTAATGATGATATGCTATGCTTAGAAGCATTGAAAGGCATTTTCTTTTTGCTTTTAAAGTACACCATGGAATTAAACATATATGTCACTTTTACGGAATTTAATATTAAACAAAATTGAAGAACAATGATTCTACAATGGATTAACTTTTACACTAAAATAGAGAATCTATATACATAAAAGCCTAAGCAACCA